GATAAGTGAATGCATGAGTAATCAGTACCTTTATGCAACAAGCAATTTATTTCCTTTCTTTTATTTATAACAGCTCTGAGCTGGAGGATGAGGTGGCAGCAGATTCTTCCTCCTACTCTGAATAATAGGAGGCAGATCATTTGCCTCTTTGGCTCTCCAGGGCATGCTGGGGAGCTGAGAGATAAATAGGCATGGGAGGTGATGTTTGATAAAGACCGAGGTATGTCAAGGTGTGGGTGGTGCTGATTGTCATGAGCTGGCATTGGATACCAGCTCCGAGCCTGTGGTCATCACTCCAACTGGGGACAGCCGGGCTTGTGCGGATGCTGTGGCTCTGCAGATGCTGCTGACAGTGTTTTGAAGGATTGCGTTGGCCAGAGACCCAATCCCCAGTCTGCCTCCTCTATGACTCATTCTGGCTGCATAGATTGGTAGCAGGAAGACTTGAGATGAGATGAGATGCAAGAAGCGCCTCTGAAGAGTGGGAGTTCCTACTGGGTCTGTACTTGAAAGGTGTTGTGTTTTACACAGGTGGCAGAGAGTTTATTTACATAACATAAACCATTGTAAAGTGAACACTGTAGTGACATTTAGTGCATGTGAATGTTGTGCAAAAACTAGCTCTGTTTAGCTCCAAAATATTTTCATCACCCTCCAAGAAAATCCCTTACAGTTACTCCCTCCTCTTGCCTTCCCCCTGGCAGCCACTAATCTGCTTGCTGTCTCTGTGGATTCACCTCTCTTGGATAATTCATATAAATGGAATCATGCAATATGTGACCTTTTGCATTTGGCTTCTTTCACTTATCATACTGTTTGCAAGATTCATCCACACTGCAGCAAGTAACAATACAACACAAAGTCTTAACAGTCACACCAAACCCCCAAAGACAGATCTTTCCCCATCTTACCCAAAAGAGTGAATCACTCTCGATCCTCTAATTTAGTCATAAGTCCAGCCCGAAAGTAGAGAAATGGATTGGATTTGGGGATACCCAAGTAAGCCGCATTGGAGCTTAAAATATATTTTAAAAATATACCTATTCCTGAACTCCATTCAGAAGGCTGCTGAATCAGTAGGCTGGGTGGGGTTTTAGGTGCTTCTGATCCTAGACCAGTGACCCCAGGCATTATCTTAACTGCCTGCCTGTGAACCTGCAGAGATCTGAAGTACCTCCCAGGCCCTGCCTGTGGCTCCTGATGCAGTTGCTGACCAGCGATGTGTTTGTCTTCTGTGGGGAGATGCTGGACCCTTTCCTGCTGCCTTTACAGTTCCAATTAATTATGTGTCATTTATCAAGTTCCAGCTTGTGAACCAGAGACGGGAGCAGGAAGGTTGTTCATGCCCTGGGGTTGTGATTATAACTGACTGTACCTCAAGGTTATGTTCCTAGAAAAGCCACACTCTCCTTCCTCCCTGGCCAAGATCTTCTGGATCCCTGTGTGGGACTAGAATGGGAGAGGATGATTTGAGAGATCTAGAGGCCTGCAGCTGCTCAGATGCTGGTGATGGGGAGGGTTGGAGGAGGGGGTGCCTGGAAGGGAAAGGACCGGAACAAACAGGAAGTCACCTCTTTAAGTAAAAGATCTTGCTGGGGATCTGGGGGTTGTTCTTCATTACAGGAGCTGCGCCTGGGCTGCTGGTTTCTTGGTGGCTTGAGATTGTGGGGGTGGGGATGGAGAGGAGGAAGGTGAAGCCAGAGAGTGGACTGCATGTCTTGGCTTTAATAAAAATGATGGCCTGCTAGCCTCTTGTCATCCTCTGGGTGCACTGGTTCCTGCAACTGACTCTGGTCATGTGTTCGGGGGATGGGCACCTGGGCTGCCCTGGGGATCAGCCTGACTCATCAGGGAGTTATTCTCATGACCAGGATGTGCCTGACTTCTCGCCAAGGCAAGGAGCAGAGCAGTATGTGTGAGCGCCTGGTGGCCCTCGGACAAGCTGTTTCTTGCCAAGGATATTTTCTTTTCCTCCGCTGGGCTGCCCTTTTTCAATCTGCTCTTAGAAAAAAAAAGCAGACATTTAATAGAAAAGCCTTGTTTTTCTGTAAATAGGTGTTTCACTGAGCTTGCCTTCTGCAGGCTTTATTATTAAAAAAAAAAGCCTTTGAATGTTTGGATGCTTGTCTCTGTGCTCATCTCGTCTCTCTCCCCTTGGGATGATTGAGGGAGGTCTCATAATCTCTTATCTTCTGTGTAGAAAGACTTCAGCAAGTTGTTTTCAGACCTCTCTCCCATTCAGATCCCTGAAAACTTTGTAGCCTGTTCAAAGCATCATCTGATTGTTACCTGCCAGAGGGGGTGCTTTGACCGCGCCTTTGAGGATGCCCAAGTTGGACATTGCTGGACCTTTTCATCTCAGACCTCAGTGAACCTGAGGGGCTCTTGCAGGTTCTTAATCCTTTATTGTACTGACGTTTGCATAGTTCTCTGTTTATTCCCATTTGGTTCCAAGGGTGAGGATGGTTGGTTAGGGGAAAAGACTTTAGCCTGGATTCCTAGGGTTCCTGTGCTGGTGGGCTTCTGATCTACAAATGCTTCCAGATTCTTCCCAGAAACCTGGGCTGGAAATAGAGTGGGAGGAGGGAAGGTTGGAGGGAAGCTTCAGTGGCCCAGGGGATTCCGTTAACTGCTTTCTGCTGATAGCATCCTGGGTTAAATAATTTATGTTTTTTATTTGCGCTTGTCTTTTGATGCTTGCCTGGACTTATCTATCAGGAATGAGAAGTGACTTTTTTTTGGAATGGCATGTTTTCCTAAAAAATATCAAGGGTCTTTTTCTTTAAAAAGGTCTTATTTCAAATGCTTTTGAAAAGAGTTTGGATCCTGGATCAAATTAGATGCAGGTGCTTAAAGCCCAAAGCATAGTCGTTATGGATTAACTCCTCGGTTGATCTGGCTGCCAAATTTGTGGCCCAGGTGTTTGTCCTTCTGTGACATCTGAGGGCCCCTGAGAGAGTAGGTGGGGAAAGTTAGGGTGTGGTGGTGGAGAAAGGGAAGAAAGGATGGAGAAAGAGGTATGGGGGGCTAGTAGGGGGAAGGTTTTCTGTCCCAGAGCTGTACTAAAAAGCACAGCTCTAAGGGCAGGTCAGCTGACTTGCACTTCATTAATTCAAGAATTGGTGATGAAGTGGGTGGGATATGCTGTCCCAGCTAGACTCTCAGGGGACATCTCTGAGTCCCCAAAGCTCAATTCTCTGCCCAGTGTGCCCACAACAACTGAGATGGCTGGTGGGATAGACTGATCTCAGATGTCACTCAGTAAGAGAGATGGCACATGCTCCTGATTTGGGGGCTTTGTCCTGCCTCTGCCTGTGGCAGCAGCTGCCAGGAGCTTTGTTAGTCTCCTCATCCGTTTGCTCTCCATACAGGTGAGGTGACATGAATAACTCACGCGTTCTGAAGTGCCAGTGCTTGAGCTGGTGTCCACTGATGGATAGTGAAATAGAAAGCCTGGGCTTAAGACGGCACAGCCAATAAATGGAATGGTGAAATAAGGGGGAAAGAAAAGGGACGTAGTTATGTTTCCACAGGACAAAAATGTCATCTAAAGGAACTTTTCTCTATTCTGAGATTATATCCCTCCTCCGTTTTAGCAAATGAATCCCCAAACCTCAGTGGTGTAACAAGATCGCCTGATTCTGAGAAGCTCAAGGTAGAAGATCACCCTCTCTGTCACACAGGTCCCTTCTGTCTGTGCTCGGCTTTGCTAGCTTCTAGGGCAGGGGTGGCGAACCTATGGCATGCGTGCCATAGCAGGCTGTTTGTATCACCGAAAGCTCCAAAAGGTTCACCTTCACTGTTCTAAGGCTTTGAGGTCCTTTGAATGCAACCTGAGTCCAGACAGGGCAAGAAAATGGGACCCTGTGGGGGCTCTGATCACCCTCAATCTCAGGGCCTCATCTTGCCCGATGAGTCTGTGGTGTCCTCACAAAGCAGAGAAGAAAACAGAAAACGGTGAGTTAAGTTCTGATACCATGTCTGGTTTTGTTCATGTCTTTACCCAGTAAACTGGAAATCAGTATCCAATCCTCTGCCACCTTCCTAATCTATTTTTATTTTATTGGCTTACAGAACATCTGGGATCTACTGTTCAAGTAGTAATTCAAAGGTCAATTCTGATGATTTCTGGAAGACATTTCTTTGCTTAAGATAATTTTCATTAATATATAATTACATAGTTATGGGGCACTGTTTGCTATTTCAATAGAGGTATAGAGCATGTAACAATCAGGTAACTGGGATGTCCAGGTAGTTGACTTCTCTGTCACCTTAAACATTTATCAGTTTTTTTGTGTCGAGAACATTCCGAACCTTTTCTGCTAGTTAATTTGAAATACACAATTAATATTTATTAATCATAGTTATCCCGTTTTGCTGTGGTACATCAGAAGTCATTCCTTGTATCCAAATGCTTTTTTTTTCTCTTTTTGAACCCAGGGCTTTGTGCACAGTCTTGTGCGCCCATAACCATTTCTGTCACTTTTCCTTGCCCTTCCAGAACTGCTGGGAAAGTTTTTCTCTTTTCTTTTCGAATAAGAGGAATGTTTCAGTGTTTTGGTGTAGGCCCTCATGATTGCATGTCACACATGGAATAAGAATCAGAGTAACACGACTGATGTTATGAAGGATGAAAATAAAGCAAAAGACTAGGTTATGCTAATGAGATCCTGCACAGATTTTCTGAAGTACAAGTATATGTAAAGAGGGGACTAGTGTCTCCTCTTGAGAAGTTGAGTCAGATAGAGTGTCCACAGTGGGGAGAATAGGCTGCCATGGCCCAGTGTTTCACATCTCACAATCTTTTTTATTTTTGGTACTGGGGATCAAACTCATGACCTTGCACTTGCCAGGCGGGCACTTGTGCCACTGAGCTAAATCCCCAGCCCACATCTCACAATCTTGTGGCTCCTGAATGACAGAGGAGGGGGGACCTTGATTTTGAGTGTGTGTGGCGCTTACTCCCCATGGTTCCTGATTCATGTGTTTGTCTCTTTCAGGTCAGTCTGAATGACTCCCACAATCAGATGGTGGTGCACTGGGCTGGAGAGAAAAGCAACGTCATTGTGGCCTTGGCCCGGGACAGCTTGGCGCTGGCGAGGCCCAAGAGCAGTGATGTAAGTATTTGTGTGCTCTGGGCACTCCCTAGTGCCCTCACCATGCCCTTTTTGATGCTCTGATATTATCATGCGAGAAAAAATAGCGGGTAGTTAGAGAATGGGTGGGGTGAATTCTATGACAGGGAAGAGAGTCAGGGAAATAATTCATATATTCCTTGTTTACTGAACACAGGGTGCAGTCTGTGTGCCAAGCAGATGTATGCACCGTGTGATTGTTTTTGTGAAGTTCTAGGTGGCCTGGGTGGTTATATCTGCTCAACGATTTGCTCACCCACCTGATTGATTTTCCCACATGCCCGTGTCTTGTAGCACACGACCATTGGATGAGCTGTTGAAATTTCTTAATTTCCACTATTGGATACTGACTGTGTTTAATTCAATGCTTTAAGGACAGGAGACCAAGGGTTACAAATTCACTTCATCTCTGCCAACAGACCAAGAAGTAGGAAGCGTTACAAACTCAAAGATCTGTAAGAGGGCAGGTAAAGGATGGGGAGGAACCCAGCTCTAAGTGTACAACACTATATCCGTAAATAGAAAAGGATTGTCCCATATTTCTTCAAGTCTGTGACCTGCTTGGACAGTCTCCCCAGTTTTCATAGAGATCCAGGGACAAGAAACATTCCCCTGTGTCTTACTTAGTATGTGGCAACTGTTACTTCATCTCTGTGATGGCGAGGTGCTGGGAAGAAGTTCTAGGCTCTGATAGCATCTAGGATGCCAAGTCTCATGTTGCCAGGTCTGATTTTTTTTTTCAAGAGAAGCCCAGAGGTCTGGATGTTTCTGTGAAACTGCTGACTCTTCGAAATTGGCAGCTAATGTATAATTTTACAAACACTGCCTGGGCCAAGTAAAATACAAGAGAGGGTCAGAGCTGGCCCTTGAGTCCCAAGTCTGTAACCTGCGTTCCAACCTTCTCCTTGTGGGCAGAAGAAACTTCCCCTGCCCCAGATAGGGGTCCAGGTGGAGGCCCTGGACAGAATAACACATTGAGCACTGGTTACCCTGTGTCCTGGCCAGGGGAAAGCTGATGGATTTGCTGGCACTTTACACCAGCCTTAAGGATGCACTTGTAATTCTTGAGTGTAGGTTTGGTCTTGGTGATGTCCCTCTTTTGTATCTACTGTCTGTGTCAGATGCGTTCTGAGGGAGCCTTGGGCTGTGTCTGGTGAATTCAATTAGGTAACCCCAGACAGGGAGGGCCAAAGAATGGCCGGCTGTAATGGTGGGTAGCTTTGCTATGGGTGAGTTCAGAGCCACAATACCTAGACAACTGCAGCAATTGGTCTGGTCTGGGTATAGTGCATAAAAACAGAGCTAGAGTAGCATAGGGCAATGACTTTGGCCAGTTTCTAAATGTGATCAGGGTTTACAGGCAGCCACATAGGAATGCTTGCTGATCCCATGATACTCTGTAGGCACCTGTGCATGTGTTTAGGGCAGTGTTGTTTCTGTGTATCCCTACTAACCACAGATGCCGGCTCTGGGCTGTACCGTGTTAAGAAATCTTCTATGGGGTTTTTATGCTTTAAAATAAATTCTTTGACTGGATTTTGCAAGCTAGGTAAGACAACTTAATACTTATTTCATAGTTTTGATAGACAAATAGGAGCTTAGGGGCATAAAAGGATTCACATGGAGTTACTCAGCATGTCTGTGGGTAAGTTTGGGGGTGATGAGACCAAGACCCTGTCACGTATTCAGTGTATGAGACTGTGGTGTCACTAAATGACCCACTTGTCTGGACTCAGCATTGAAAGCCCTGTGTTCTACAACCCCCTGTGTCTCCAGTCTTGGGTGAAGGATTGAAGCTCTATTCAGCTTAGCTCTTACTCTGTCTAAATATTGGGGTATGTCATACTAAGAACCGATTGAGCAGTTGAAGTGATTAGTTATTTTGGAATGAAATGTAAGGTAAGATTAAATGGAAAGGAGATGTAATGCCCAGAGTTAATAAATAGAGATGGCAGAAATTTCCTCCATCTGTATACAAACTACATTAAAGAATTGGCAGATGAAACTAAGATGTTCTGATGTAAAAAGTTAATGCAAAAATAAACTGTGACTCAGAGGCAGAGTTGGTGGTGTTGGAGCGGTAACAATCCAACTTTTCTTTTAAAGACTGCGAGGTTGGTTCATAAGGCCCCATTAGAAGTCTAAAGGGAAAGAATTTATATAGATAAGGACCTCTGTGAACTGTGGGAAAGGGCCAAGGTCGTGCATATTTAGTATATGAAAAAGGATGGTTCTACAAGCTAGGATCCCAGATACTTTGATCTTACACAGGGAAAAAAAAAAAATTACTACCTAATGAACTGGTGCCAGTGTGATTAGATAAGGAACATTGATCTTCATCTATGAAAGCTGATGAAATGGAACAATAGATGTAGTTTATCTTGATATTTCATTTTTATCTTTTCTTGTGCTGTGTTTTGCAAAGTTCTTACTTGTAGTATAATTAGCCAAAGAACTACTGAGATATATTATCTATCAGAAGATCAGGATTTCTGGGTGTGATGGTGCATACCTGTAATCTCAGTACTTGGAAGGCTGAGGTCAGAGGATTGCTGTGAGTTCAAGACCAGCCTAAAATACACAGAAAGACTCTGTCTCAAAAAAAAAAAAAAATCTAGCTCAGCTAGAAAGATGTATGAATGCTGAATGGTAGAGCTCACTGTCTTTGTCTCTCCCCAGTAACACCACGGTAGTACAATGTTGTGATTTGTTCCCCTGAAATTTAATGGTTTGCAGGGTCAGTCCTTGCTAACATGTAGACTTGTAGCCTTGGGAGGCTGGTGTCTGGCTGAGCACAGGCTCTGAAATTAGAATGCTTAAATTGCAATCCTGGCTCTGACATTTATTAATAATCTGTTTCTGGGCTAGCATTTTTTTTTAACCTTCTTGTTGGTCTTTGTGCTAGTCAGCTTTGTGTTACTGTAGCAAAATACCAGCAATGATCAACATATAAAAAGGAAAATTTTATTTTGGCTCACAGTTTTGAAGGTTTCAGTCTATGATTGTTGTCACCATTGTTTTTAGGTCTTGGGTGGGGGTACTTACTGGGGTAGCAGTAGTGGGGAGTAATTGGTGGAACAAAAACACATCAGGAGCCAAAAGACCACAGTGAGGAGGGGACCAGCACCTCAGAATCCTCTAAGGACACACCCACAGTGTTCTAAAGACCTCCGATAGGGGTCCACCCCTCAAAATTCCACCGCTTCCGTGTCACACCACTAAACCTTTATATATGGGCCTTTGGGGACTTTCAAGGTCTAAACTAGAGCAGTTTATCACTGAGACAGTACCTTGTTAGCCAAAGTGTGTTGTATGGATTAAACTGTGTTGTGTGGACTCCACAAGGATTTTTGGGAGCTATTTAGAAATGCACACTCTCAGATCCCATCCAGAGTTTTTGAATCAGGAGCTGCACTTGGCCAGTGGCCTGCCGGGTGGTAATTTGTAAGCACATTAAAATTTGAGAAGCAGTCCTGTACAAAACCAGGAAAGGTGCCAGATGTGGAGATGTTTTCTGTACATATGAGTCCCCCCATTATTATTATTATTATTACCTAGTTTTAAAGTACAAGGAAACGAGTTTTAAACTATGTACTTCAGAGGAAAGAAGTTTTACACTATGCATTTACACTATGCATGGTTACACTATGATGTAACCATGGGCAGCTTAGCGACTCCTCCCTTGTTGAATTTTATTCTACAGGGAACACAGTGTCGCATTGAGGTCAGAGAGGACCAATTAGTGCCGAAAGCTGTGTCTGAATGGAAAGGAACAGGCTCCCGGAAGCCCCAGGGCAGGGAGGATGCGGTGTCAGCTCTAGTTTACCTGGAGATGACAGTAGGCAGTGAGTCAGCAGTATCTTGCTGCCCTGGACAAAGACAGCCTGAGTTGGAACTCACACTTGTTGATGCAGTATACAGCCCACAAAGCCATCAGCCCACTGAAGTTTAACTCAGCACAGTCAGGGCCTTCTGTACACTGTTCTGTTTAGAGACGAGTGGATAACTGCACCAGCCTTGAGCCTAATATTTGCCCTGTGGTGCTTATGGTCTGTGGCCATCAAATGGAAATTAGAATTATGAGGGTCGGATAAAAATACCATCTTGGAATTGTTCAACCTGCAGAAGGCAAGGGAGATTGATGCAAGTATGATTTCTTTCAGGTACAGGATGGACCCTTAGGTACTCATTTCCCAACCACTTCCCCCAAACTGGGGATCAGCCCAGGGGTACTCTATCACTGAGCTACATCCCCAGCCCTTTTAATTTTCTAAAGTTTTTTTTGGTACCGGGGATCAAATTCATTATCCCATGCTTGCTAGGCAGGAGCTTATGCCACCTAGCCAAATTCCCAGCCCCCTTTTTATTTTTTTGAGACAAGATTTTGCTAAGTTGCCTCAATTGTGACCCTCCTGCCTCTGCCTGCCAAGTTGGTGGGATTACAGGAGTGCTCCACCATGCTCCGCTGTACGTACTCTTAACCTCTAATAAATATAAGATCCAAGAGATGGGTTTTGCTTGCTGGGGAAAAATAAGAAAGAACTTTCTGATAGTGAGAATGGTTTCCCCTTCAAGTACACAGTGGGAACAGTGGCGGAGAATCCAGGAAAGACTGTAATTTGCTGGAGTAGGTCTTTCCTTCCTTGTTGGCCAGCACTTCTTCTGGTGCTGGGACTGACATTTGGGGTACAATGGAAGCAAAGTAGAGAAAAGAGAACATCTCCAAGAAAGTGCTCACAGACTGAAAAGATGACTAAGTTGGCATTGGAAAAAAGTCACAATTTTTTTTTTAACTTACTAACAATAGGACCCTGGGCTAGTCATTCTCTTCTGTCTTAGTTTTTGTTTTCTCTTAAATGGAAATCGTGACAGTCAACCCTCAGTATCTATGGGTTCTGCATTTATGGTTCAGCCAACTGGAAATTGAAAATGGTAGGAAAACAGTTGCATCTGTACTAAACATGCACACACTTTCCTTGTAGGACAGTTACTTACACAGCAATTACATTGTCTTAGGTGATGTAAGTACTTTAGTGAGGATAGAGAATACACAGAAGATGTGGACAGGTGCCATGCAGATACTATTCTGTTTTATAAAAGGGAATTTGATTGGCCACAGATTTCAGTGTCCATGGAGTCCTGGAACCAACTGCCCTGTGGATACGGAAGGACAGCTGTATACTGTGTCACTCACTGCTTCACTCAGATCCCTTTTTTGTTAATTTATTTGACACATTCATTTAGTTGCTCTTTGCCTTATAATCATACTTATTCTTTGCCAAAGTCTTTGCAGACTACTTGGTATCTTTGAGATGCCCCGAAGGTAAACTACCTTGTGAGATTTTTAAAGAGGAAGAGAGATAAATGATAATATGAAAGAATATTAGATGCTGGAAAAGCTACCTTATGTGGACATATCTTATTTGTGTTTCTCAAGAACTAAATGATAGCAAATTATCAAGTTAGGAGATTTTGGAGCTAGGAAGGGCCTTTGTTCTCTGTTTGGGGAGCCATTAACTGGCTATGCATGAATTCTGAGCCTCCCTGGAACTTGGGGTTCCTTCTTGGCCTGAGAAAGTCCCACTTCATCTTTTTACCCACCTAAATTGTCTGTGAGCTCTCAGCCTGCTAAATTCCTGAAGCTGCTTTTGCAGCTGCCCTTACTGTGTGTTGGTTGTTGGGAGCACAGCCCGTGTTCCTACTCGTTCCTCCCATGGTGACCTAGAAAAAGGCAGCACCTCTGTCTTAGCTGCTTCTAACCTTGACTTCTGTTGAACGTTAATGACCCTCAGGAGCAGTTGGTTCCCTGTGAACAGTCTGCCATCTTTCGTTGTTTACCTGGGGTGTGTCCGCAAACACACACATGGTTCCATGCCCATCTGTCCGTCTTTATCTTTGTACTTCTGGTGCCCAGCATAGTTTCTGGCTCTTGTGAAACTCTCAAAGCATATTTGGTATGGAGTCAAATGGGAAGGGTTGGCCATACACTTTTTGGGATTTGTTCATTAATTCTTATTCTTCGTGGGATTCAGCTGACATTTTTCTTTAGTGTGACCCTCTATTCTCTTTCTCCTAAATCATTTGAAAAGTGACTGAATTATGATTTTCACTGTTACAATCATCTACCAGGTTTGGGTTTTTTAGTTTCTTGATTATGCTAATGACTTTTCACATCTCATAAGTACTCAAGTCTAGGTCTGTTTCATCTGACTGCTTCCATTCTGCCCTCCATGGTAATGGCTTTGAGGTTGCTGGCTTTGACGCAAGCAGCCTAAATTAAGATCCTAATCTGCTTTTGTTATGACTATGGCGAGTACCTAATCTCACGATTTTAACAATTCCATTTGCCGTAGGATTGTGAGAGTTGCCTGAGCTGGAAGAGCTTAGTACTGTCTCTGCGCACAGTAAGCACTAAGAGAGTGATAGTTGTTCTTTGTTTATCAACATGGCTACTACATTGCAAGAAACCGAAAGCAGTGGAGAAGCAAATATTGTCAGCCTGGACATGGATCCTGCTGCCACTATTATCTCCATGCCACAGAATCACACATCTAGTGCAGAAAGGCATTCTAGTACTGATTATTTTTCTCAGTGTTGGGGATGGAACCCAGGGCCTCATGCACACTAAGTAGGTTCTGTACTATGAACCACACCGCTGTGATATTTAATCACTTAGGACTCTTCCATCTCATGGGGGCCCATGAGGGTTTTTTCCCTGAGCATGGGATGCTCTAAGAAGAGAACATCCCAGCAAAGGGATACGGACTCAAATTGCCCTGCTGGATTCATTTCCACAGATGGCAAAACAAATTTCCAACCTTTTATCCTTCAGAGGAGCACCTTCTCTCTGTCTCTGGATATAATTTGTTAAACACTTATCATGGCCACAATGGGGATGTTATCATTGTTTCTGTGTCTGTTGCATGCTTCAAGGACTTAGCTTTGCCTCAGCAAAGAGACTAACACACTGCAGGCAGAGGTGGCTGTAGCCCTTCCATGCTTTCTGCACCTTACAAGCTTGGAGACAGAAACGGAGGTGTCTGTGGGCTGTCTGGTAACGTCAGTAATTCATGTTGTCAGGGACCCAGTGGGATCCATATGCAGGGTCAGGGTTAGAGCAGAATGCTGGGAAGGAGAACTGTGAAGATCTTTCTGCCTGATTTCTCAACCAACTCTTTTCCTCTTCTTCTCCTCTGTATTCCAGGTATACGTGTCTTACGACTATGGAAAATCATTCAGTAAGATTTCAGAGAAGCTGAACTTCGGCATAGGAAATACCAGTGAAGCTGTGATTGCCCAGTTCTACCATAGTCCTGCGGACAACAAGCGGGTGAGGAAGCCACTGATCAAATGATTGCTACGCTGGATGGGTATTGGGAGACAGAGCCTGTCGTGGTCTTTGCCGTGTGACTGGTAGTCAACTGTGTTTCGGCTAACCTGGGAGATTGTGACAGTACAGTTCTTAGGGTAGGTCTGTACAATCAGGCAGGCAGGATTTCCAGACAAACAAGGGTAGGTTAAAGCACAGAAAATCTGCCAACCAATAAATTGCCTAACTTACTCATGGCAAAAATGTTAGCCAGCTATTCTGGGACTTGCATGGCAGTCTAATCCATGGTTTCCAAAAGCGGCTGCTAAAAGCCAGGTTAGCTGGCATCGCAGCATGGGTGTGTGTGCATGGATGTGTGCAGACATGATTGTGCTTGTGCATTCCTCTGAACCTATATAAATTCCCTTTCCCTGAACCTATATAAATATGGAAAAGAAAACCACGGCAGCAGATAGAGCTGTGCCTCCTGCTTGTTTCCCCACGTGGCATGCCTGGAGGCTTGTTTCTTGGGTCGGGACCCCCCAGGCAGGTCTCTTAGCTCTGAGAGTTATGTTAAATTACTTTCTACCCTTCTTACATTGCCTAGCTTTTTTACTAGGGTTGAATGACTTCTTCAATGGAAAGACCCTTTGCAGAAACACTTGTTAGTGTGGAAGCTTTCTAAACTGCTACTTCCTGCTTATGCAGAATGAGCTCAGTGAAGAGGACCCACAAGAGCCTTCTTCAGGGCCCCATCACTGGCTTCCAGCTTGCATGTGGTCTCCTAGCAGGGGTTGCATTAAAAATATTTAGCAACTGATGTGGCTGAGGCCCTGACCAATCGGAACAGAGACTGTCTGGAGGGTGCTGGGTCCAAGAGGCTCCTGGTGGGCCAAGCTTTAATCTTGCAGTTGCTAAATTGGCGAGAGGTTCTGAGGTAGGGGCCCTGATTTAGGGCTTTATGAGGAGCCCTTCCGGGGATGGCTATTTATTAGCTGGTACAGAATGATTAAAAAATCATAACCAGAATAGTCATTACTGGTGCATACTGGTTACCCACCAGTCCTGCCTAATGACCTGAGTGAAGCTGCGGCTGGTGCAGCCTCCTCTGTCTCACCTAACTGCAGGGCAAGGAAGCAGTTTCCCTCTGAGTTGAAAGCAAAGAGGAAGTAGTGCAGGAAGCTGGCTTCCGTGCCCCTCCTCCCCGGTCCCCTTCCTGTGGCTTGTCAGGCCTGATCCTAGGGTTCTGTGGGTGTCCTGGTTCCCCTGCTCCCTTACCTCTGGATTCCTGAAAGGGGAGGAGCTCACTTCAGGGCCTGATTGCTGCTTGTGCCACCTCTCCCCTGAATACAAGTCTGTGCATCCTGCCTAGCAAGAAACGAATGACACTTGGATTGCTCACTTTGTCAGGCTGTGTTTAATCTTTGTTATTACTGTTAGGTTTCTACATTCTCTCTCTAACTTTAGCAATAGCCACACCTTGAAGCTGTCCTGTAGTACTCTGGACTCTCCCTTCTCAGCTGTATCTGGCCCTGCGCACCTTCAGGGCACACATGCCTACAAGTGGCTTATTTTTTCTTTCCTGGTAGTTGTGGGTTGTGGTGAGTAACTGACCACTCACACCTGGGGTCTGAAAAGTTGAAGGCAGGAAGGATGTTGCCTGGGACCCCAGAGGAGGTTTGGTGCAGGCAGAGGATGGGGGTTTTGGAGTATCAGGTATGCACAGGGCTCAGCAGGGGCTATGGCCTGGGGCCAGAGGGAGGCAGAACATGGGGATGATTGCAATAGAAGAGGTCCAGGTGTTGCATGGTGGTGTGGGGGTCACATGTACCACACGTGTGCAACCTGAGTACTGCCTGCCACGCAAAGTGATGCATTTAAGCTTATTTGTGGGTATGTTGGCTGCACTTTGCAGTTGGGGAGGATGGGGAGTTAGGAGAACAGAGATGCTGTCTTTAGAGACATGGGTTTAGAGAACCCGAGGCCTGGAGCAGGCTAAGGGAGCCAGGCAGACTTCGTTAGAGCCCTTCTAGTTTCCCAGAGAAAGCTGTTACCCTCTTGAGACATCTCAGGAAGGAAGTGATGATTCTTACTATGCTGATTGCTTTTGTGACTTTTACCTTTGTCCTTTGGAAGGCAAATTGCCTCTCCAGAACTACCACTTCTGGGTAAACTCCCCAGGGCTGGGTACTTCCCTGTCAGTAGCAGGGTGCTGGGCCCCTACAAGTCAGCACTTGAAGCTAATGTCAGTAGTTGCTCTGGAGGGTTAAAATGTCAGGAGAGAAGGGCGCATGGAAGGCTGGAGGGAACAAGTGCCAGTGGAGGGAGTGAGGGGGCAGCCAGCTCCAGCGTGCGGCTGTGACCTTTGATGGCAATGCAGTGACGGAGGGTCACCTGACTATTCAGGTCTGTTTTCGCATGCCGGTAGCCTCACTTCCTCTTCTTAGCCTCCTGCGTGCAGCTGCAGCCAGCTGGCTGTTTCACTAGCCTTGCCAGCCCCCAGCGAGCATCAGGTAGCGTCTAACCGATTCTGGCTTCTTTGAAGAGGACCACTGAAGTGTGGCATGCGTCACAGCCTCAGCCTTAGCAGCAGTGAGGATTGAGCCCGCCATTCCCCAGGCAGAGGCTGGGCTTAGGTAAAGCTGCAGACAATCCTGTTTGCATTTCTTCCCTCATTGCCTGCTCCACCCTTTCCCCACTCGCTGTACTCTTGGTTTCTGTACTCAAAACTGGAGATTGTCACCTGTGTTGATAACATATGGACACGTCTTGCAGCTCAGTTCATTATGTTTGCAGTAGTGTGCATTTTCAGAGGAAAGAATGAAGCTTTTCTGAAAGCTTGCAAGCTTTTCAGCACTTGCAAAGAGAGATGGGGAAGTAGGAGAAAGTAAAGATGTCCTTGAGGTCACACAGTTTAGGAAACATCTGCAGGGCAGCACTGCTGACAGACCTATGGGCTTGGCTGCCAGTGAACTTGACAGCCAGACTTAACAGCAAGATGGGACAGTTTGTGCTTTCTGACCAGGTGCATGTGTGACGCATCACACACAGCAAGGTGCACCGTGTGTCCATGGTGAATGGAACCTGTTACAAAGTAGAGCTGGAGGATTAAGGGAGGTTGGATCAAAGGTGTGCAGTCTTCATGGAGTGCTTTGGATTAGGGTGGAGCTTCCAGGATGGACACATAATAGGTAGAGTAGTGTTGATGGAACTCACGACTGCCTGCTTGCAAGGCAGGCGCTTATGCCGCTGAGCTAAATCCCCAGTGCTTCCCCAGGGAAGTGTCTTTTAGGAAAGTGTGTCTCCTGGAAGTATGCATAATGGATTGGAAAGGAAGGATTCGAAAAGAGTATGGAAAGGGAACCATTGGGGCGATGAAGTTGCTCAGTAGCTCACCAAAACCTCCTAGTCCCTGCCACATATTCCATACCTTGTTAGTCCTGGAAGATACGTGGATGAATAAAACCCAGTGCCTGAGTCCTGTTTGGTCAGTCTCTAATATAGACCACATTAGTAGCACTGGAAATAAAAAAGAAGACACAGATTTTGAAAGAGATTTTAGAGAAATACTTAATGGGTAGATAGCTACTTGAAAATGGAAACTAAGGGGAGGGAATGTAGTCAAAACCCAACCCTGACTTAAGTCATGGAGCTGGAGAATTGGATTTTGGTGAGAAGGTGTTGAAGAATTCAGTTTTAAACCCAGTGAAGTATCCTGATCCATCAATGGAGATGACAGAGAAAGGAACAAAGGTAATGAGAGTAGAATCTCAGTGAAAAGTCAGATTTAACCGTAGCTATGAAAATCATTGTATTAAACTACTTTTTGTCACTCTAATAAAATACTTGAGACTGGGTACTTTATAAAGAAGAGAGGTTTTATTTGGCTCTTAGTTTCAGAGGCTGAAAATCTTAGATCGACCTCATCAACTTGGCCTCAGATGCAGCCTCCTTTGGCCGTGTACAGTCATGGCGGATGGCCTTATGGTAAAAGAGGGTGTGAGAGGTGCAACAGGAAGCCAGAGGGCTGAGAGGAAAGGACTACATTCATTCCTTCTGAGAGCAGAACCCTGAATTACTTTGCATGAGGCTCCACATCTTAAAGGTTCCACCACCTCCTGACATTATCACATTGAGGACCAACCTTCCAATTTATGAACCTGTCAGGGACCAACCACATCCAAATGATAGCAGGCATGCAGTAATTATTTTGGTGGCAAGTTGTTCCCCTAAAATTTTCATATACTATCATAATAATTGTAGCGAACTGGTCCATGCTGGTCCCAGGTCCCTGCCCCTGTGTCACTTGTGGGGAACCAACCCACTTTCCCCACCCTGGTGCCACTCATAGGGACATAGACCTGCTAGTTTGTCACCCTGGCCTGGAAGTGAATGAGGATGAAAGACAGTGACAGTCTGTTCAGCAGGCAGACAGATGACTCTTTAGTAGGCAAAGGAGCTCCGAGTTTCTGGCTCATCCTGATTTTATTCACTCAAACACGGGGTACAAATGTTTAGAATAACCCAAGATTCATCTGCTTTCCCTTATGCATGGGTAAGCAATCTGATCTAAGCTGTATTGACTTTTCCCCGGAACCTGCAACCTACCTCATCCCTGCCTGTTACCAAAGGAGCACAACCTGCTGTCTTTCTCCTTTGTGCTCCTCCAGGAGGCTAATTGGGCCACAATTCTCTGTAATTGGTCTCTCACTAATAATAAGTTCGATGATTGAGGGAATCGCTTCTTTGGATTCACAAATGAGAGATTGCAGCAAGCCATAAAATAGATTTCTGGAGAAATCTTTTTTTGAGCTGAGAATATACGCCCTTCCCTAGTAATCAGGATGGTTTGGAAGCAAGAAAAGAAGCAATTTCTAGGGAATACTTTCATGATAAAAATTATGAGGATTCCCCAAGGATCGTAATTGTTTTTATTACATCGCTTAGGATAGTTTTTGCTAGGATAGTTTTTGCTTTCAAAACATTTACCACTTTTTGGGTTAGATTTAATTAGGCTTCTACAGAGTGTAGAGATTTATATTAAATGCTGGAGAAGAAACAGAAGGGAAAGAACACACAAAATGGGCCCTGGAAAGTTTAGGGCAGGATTTGGGGAGAGAGGGTGAATGCTGGGGGTTAGCGATGAAAGCATCCTGGGAACAAGGGTAAAGTGTTTGTCCCGGCCCAGGCTCAGGGCTGCTTGCAGTCAGAGCCAGTTTGATCTGGGTCAGGTGTTGTCACTTAGGAGCAGTGGCCTTGGGCTAATTTTCTCAGATTGGTTGTCTTCTAGGGCGTGAATGGCTGGTTGTGGAACTGTGCCCTGTCGCCCTCATTTCTGGTACACAGCTTGGTCTCCTGGGCCGCCCTGGTTCTTTTGGGAACAGATCTGCCCCCAGGTCTCTCCTGTGCACTCAAGACCTCTGGGCGTCTGTGTGTCCCAGCCCTGTTTCCCCATCATTTTCTCAGGCCCTCAAGGCTATCAGGAAACCCACTTGACTGTTTTCTTCCTGTCCTTTTTGACCAAACTTAAGCTGCCCTAGATATGGAATGTGCTTTCCCCATGGAAGCCTTCCCTGCCCTTCAACGGTCTCTTTCATAGGGTCAGTTCTGATATCTTGAGCAAGACAGACTCTCCTGGGATTCTGCCTGTGGATTCTCATTTAACTCTGAAAGTGGTTAGCTGTGGACGTGCCTGTCTTCCACATTATTAGGATGCCAGCTGCTGAGGGTAAAGATCCTGGTTTTTTGTTGGTGGCATCCCCAGTGTTTGGCCCCTGGTGAGCCTGCAGGACACACCTGTTAATTTGAACTGCCTTGATCCTGCCCCTAGAGAAATTTTGAGGGAGCCTCTATCTAACCAAACTTGTTCTAAGTCACTGGTCCACACAGAAGCAAAATAGGGCGAGGCACCTGCTCCCCAGGGCTGCTTCCTGTTGTGCCTCAGACTGTGTCTTCCAGCTGTGCTGTTCCCTGGAGTTACCTGGTGACCTGGCATAATACAACAGCTTATCTTTTCATTGGGTGTGATTTTAACAAATTTCCTAGAAAGGCATTCTTATAACTGCTCAGAGGACACAAGGACGGACAGCTGTCTTGACTGTTTTCAGGCCATCTGAAGATCAGGGTGTTTCTGTCCTGGCTGCCAACAGCCACTCTCTGGTTGTGAGAATGTGAGCTGCCAGAGTGAGAGTGGCCAGGTCGGTTGAAAGGAAAAATAGACTTGACCAACTTCATTACCTGATTAGACAGGCTCAGTTAGTGGCCGTCACTGCACCCTTCACTCACTGAGCCTGGTCAGTGTGGCCAGCATCATTTTGTTGCCAGGAGGAGGGGGAAAGCCACTATGGAGCCTCCTAAGGCCTGGCACCCCACTTTCCCACATATGTGTGTTTTCGCTTAGGAGGAAGTGTGGGGGGCCTCTGGCTGTGCACCGCTCTGAGCTGACCTGTTTTCCCTTGTAGTACATCTTTGCAGATGCTTATGCCCAGTACCTCTGGATCACATTTGACTTTTGCAACACCATTCATGGCTTTTCCATCCCGTTCCGGGCTGCTGACCTCCTCCTCCATAGCAAAGCCTCCAACCTTCTTCTGGGCTTCGATAGATCACATCCCAACAAGCAGGTAAGCGGGTTTCTCCAACAGTTGGGTGTGGTGCCTGGGTGCACTGTGTGTCCTTTGAATGACCTTGCCTCCTGCTTCCTGTTTCCCTTTTCGCAGGCTTAGCCTTTGTAGCTACTATTTCACATGCTGTAGCTAAAGCAAAGTGTCTTCCCCTGGCCCTCTGTGCCTGTGTCCCAGCCAGTGGGCAGTACCTAGCACTGGGCAGGCCCTGTGAGTTCAACACCATGCCTTCCCCAGGCAGGTGAACCTTTGTTATCTTGTGGCTACACAAGGCCTTGGAGTTTCATCAGAGAGCCACATAGAGAATTCTAGTCTGGAGCTCTTTGGTGACCTCTTGTTTTTAAGCTTTTTTTTTTTTTTTTATGGTGCTAGGACTGGAACCCAGGGCCTTTGGTACTCTAGGCAAGTGCTCTACCATTGAGCTATCCCTCTAGCTCCTCCTTAAACATTTTGCCTGCCATTTGTTTGAAGTTATCCTTAACTCTGATCTTCTCCCTTTGTGTGAGCGTGGATGTGTGTGTGTATAATAGAAATGCATTTGTTTTCCTCCTTGGATTCAGGTATGAAGGAAAGTGGACAAGTGAAGAGAGAGCCTGGGTAAGGTTTATGTCTCAGGATCGAAACTTGCCTTGTCAAGAGTATTGGTTGAGCATAAACCTGTGAAACCTGCAGATTTTGTATGACTGGGTTAACGACGGGTCCTGAATGTTTTTGTTGAGAACAGCCTTGGAATATTTCTTTTGCTTCATGGGTCGTTTAATTAAAACACAGATCCTGTTTAACTTCGTTTGCCTTAGGGAGTAACCCAAGCTTACATGGGCTGGGTCAGTTTACCAGTAGAGGCAGATTATTGTTATTTTTGGTCTCATGCTTCTTAATATGCGTTTGTTAGGACCAAAGGAACCCTTGGGTCTTGTCTGTGGAGGTTGAGGGACTTTGGCAAAGATTAGCAAGTTAATTAGTCATGGCCAGGTTCACACATTCAGTTTATTCCTTTTGGCATTCTGTACTCAGCCAGTGTCTTTCATGTCCTTTGGAGACAGCTTTAATGACCAAGGTTCATTATAGTTTTTATTTTTACTTTAGCTCCAGGAATTAAGTCAAGGGGCTCATACCTGCTTTACCACCAACCTGTACCCCTGAACATAGTTTTTATTCTACTTCCTTATCTTTTATTGTGGGTAAATACATAGGAAATAAAATTTACTGTCTTATCTGTTTTAAAGTGTACAGCTCAGTGGTCTAAGTCTATTCATATTGTGGTACAATATCCTACCACCCAAGTTATGGGGGTTACTCTTGAGTGAAATATCATTTCTGATAATACATAAGTGATGGGCAAGCCACACTCATTTTGTCTTCTGGTTTCTGCCGAAAGCATCCTGACTGCAATGAAAGGAAAGGTAAGGTCTTGTCCTGGTCGCCAAGTTCCCGCTTGCTGTGGAATTACCTGAGCTGCCTTTGGTGACCTGAGCCCTGTCTTCACAGACAGTGTGTGAGGAGGACAGGCTCTCAGTGAGTGTCGGTCAGTGCTACCTTCAGACTGTACACAGCTCTCACCTCATGTCCCCTTCTTGTTGCCTTGGTCTTCGCAGCTGTGGAAGTCGGATGATTTTGGCCAGACCTGGATCATGATTCAGGAGCACGTGAAGTCCTTTTCTTGGTAAGTTGTGTTGTCTAGGAAATCTTGGGTGATATCAGTCCCTCTCTTCACTTTGAGCTCTTTTGTGGTAGGCAAATCTTTAGTGCTAACCTGAAATATGTGTCATTTGCTCAGAAAATAAATTTTGCAGCCCTGAGGATTGAGCTGCAAGTGTAACACACTCACAAGGGGCAATGAGGAAAGATTATTTATAAGAGCAGTTATAGGGCTTTTGCATTTTTTCCTCCATCAGAGGACACAGGGGAGGGTTGGCTGTTGTATGAAATAGAGTTATTAAAGGCCTTCATATTTCGAGCATCATAATGGGGATTTCTGTATATAAAACTCAGGCATTTATTCTTTCATAGTATTTTTTCAATGTGTTCTGTTAAGTATAAAATCTCCAAGAAACTTTAGGGTACAAGAAGTGGAATAATTTGTAGATATAGTTATTAAGGAAAGTGCAGTAAGAGGTAAGGAAAGGCATATTGTGTTCACGACACACTCTGTACAACAAGCACAGCACTAATACACAAGATCAGAAGCCAGAGGAAGGACTCTGTCTTCCTGATGGAATGTTCCAGATCGTCCTGGAGGAGGCTGCTCTTGATCCAGCATGTGCCGAGCAGGTAGAAGGTAGCATCTGTATGCAGCGAGTAGCATTCTAGAAAGGAACTCCCTTAAGAAAGGGAGGCTGGTGTCAGAATCTGTAGTGTTCGATAAAGGACCTTAACCAAATTCTAAAAGCAGCAGGATGCCGCTGTAGGTTTTTGTGGAGGTGAGTGAGAGAGACAAGGTGTACGTGGAGAAGCACAGTTGCTCCTAGTCATGTTGCTTCTGACCTGATGCCATGACAGGAACACGGAATATGAGCCTGAGCTTGTATTTGGCCATGTGTGGTGCCGATTTCTAGGACTGAGATGGGAGTTTAGCAGATGACGTGACCCCGCAGGAACCCAGGCACACGTGTGACTAATAAACACAACAGATTTGATGCTGTCCAAGTTGACTTTTGATCTTTACCACACTAAATCAGTTCCCTACATTACCTTCCCTGGTTCAGTTTCTGGTTTGATTAGGTCAAGAGCTTTTGAGGTATAGCTGATTCTACATTGGTTTCATGCGTCACACTCCTATGTATCAGGAGACCCTGTTGGCTGCACTCTGTTAAGTATCCACATTGCTCTGGAGTGTCCCAATTGGTCTTCCTGCTTTCATTCTCATACTCGTGTAACTCGTTCTCAGGACCTGGACAGACCATCCTATTAAGAACTGGTCGGAGTTTATTTTTGTTCTCCTTAGCACCTTTCCAAGCACCTTCATCTTTCTTAGATGAAATAGCAGGTGCCCTTTTCCACAGGACCCTGGGCCTTTGCATGTGCTGTGTTCTCAGCCTAGATTGCTTTTATCAGTACAACATACTGCTTGTTCCCTTAGCTCATTAAATCTTGCTTAAATAACTCCTTCTAAATGAGGCCTACCCAAATGACTGTATTTATTTGTTTACTTAAAATAAATTGTATTGTGCACATTAAAAGAATCCAAGATGATGTTATGAAATCATATATGTAATTAATGTTAGCACAATGAAGTAAATGAACACATCCATCATCTCACCTATGTTTTGTGTGACAAGAATAGCTATAGTCTACACATTGAGCAAGAATCAAAAATACAACACACTATTATTGAGCATGGACCTCATGTTGTGCATTAGTAGCAGGACTAGACTAAGTCACTCTGCTTATCTGGTAACTTGGTTCCTTTGACCTGTGTGTCCTATCCCTCCCATTCCCATCCTGTCTTATTTTTCACGTCTGTATATTTTGTATTTTATTTATTTTTTTGTTCTACATGTAACCAAGAACATACAATGTTTTTCTTTTTATGCCTGGCTTATTTCCTAAGCATAGTGTCTTCTAGATCTATCCATGTTGTTGCAAATGTCTCCTCTTTTTTAGACCAGGGTTTCTTTGTTCAATTTTTTTGGTTGTTGTTGATGAGCATAAAAGTTGTTTCTATATCATGCCCATTGTGAATAAATCTGCGGTAATTGTGGGCATGCAGACATCTTTAGAAGGGGGTGTGGTTTTAGTTCCTTTAGAGCGTATGTCCAGAAGACAGATTCTTGTTCAATTTTTAACTTTTTAAAGATCCTCTTTACTGTTTCCCATCATGACTGCACACCAGCCTACAATTCCATAGGATCCTAGAGCTCTCTTTTCTCCATACCATTCCCGCTCTTCTATCTCTTGTCTTTTTGATGGTAGCTGTTCTGCTGTGAGTGAGCTGATGTCCCAAGTAGTTCAATGAACATTGCTAAGGATCCTATTTAACAGTGAGACTATTTCTCTATTATTTCCGATGTACCATGTGTTTTTTGTATTGTCCTTCATTATGTTCTAATATACAGTTAGCACACACATTAACTGACTTTCTTCAGTAAGTGAAAGCCTCCAAGATTGAGGACTCCTGTTATTTTTGTATAAATTTATCCCTACTGAAACTGTAACTTTGGTAGTGATGGCAAATTTTTCCATGGAGAGTATCAAATTTGCACTTAACCATGATGTTTTCCTCTGCAGCTATTAGGTAAGAAATAGTGTCTCATTCTGGCTTTAATTAGTACTTTTCTCCTTGTGAATCGTTTATCCTGCTTAAGGATCTTGTTTTTTTTTTTTTTTTAAACTTTTTATCGGTACCAGGGATCGAACTCACGACTGCCTGCTTGCAAGGCAGGTGCTTATGCCGCTGAGCTAAATCCTCAGCCCCTCTGCTTAAGGATCTTTCTCTCTCTTCTTTTTAATCTTTTTTTCTTTGACATGTCTATTCATATCCTTTTCCCTTTTTTAAATCTGAGTTTTAGTCTTTTTATTATTGATTTCCAGGAGTTCTTTATGTATTTGAGATTAGCTGTGGTATGAGATAGGCTGTGTGTGTGTGTGTGCGTGCACATTTATCAGCATTTCATTTGTCTTTTGACTTTTACACGTAGTATTAGTCCATATTAAACATAATGACCCAGTAAGATGTAGATTCTCTCTGTGCCACTTTTAGCACCGTATTTAAAGCTGAGGGAACCAAGTCGATTTTCTTCTTTAGTAACTGAAGATGCTAAAGTGCAGGAGATGGAGGGAGCAGCCCTGCAGCCTCTTCTAAGTCATGTGGGTGTCCTTTGTAACAGAAGGTGGCTCTTTCTGGCCTTTTTGTCTTTTTCTTTGGGCGGATGTTTTGGGGTCCTAATGAAATCATAAGCAGGATGTCATCTAAGGACAACTTCTGCCAAGGACTACCGTTATAAATTTCCTTTGCTTTATTTGACTTTAAAAGGACAAGTTGATCTTTTATTAGTTTAAGGAACTATATATTAAGTTGGCAAGCCAGCAGGACTACCATGTAAAGGAAATTAGAGTTTAGGAATTTATTTTACCTTTTGAAGACATGGCAGGTGTCTTAGGAGATAGGATTGTTCTATTTCATATTAAGCAGTATGCCTTATATTGGAATTTCAGGTTATTTGGGGGATTTTTCCTGCAGACTTTCCCATAGTAAGTGAGAGTATAATCTGATGTCTTTGAGAGCAGTAACATACATTCATTCAAGCAGTGAGTTGTGTTGTCCAGAGATTGGCAAGACGAGATGGCAGAAGACCTATGGGGAGGGACTCAAGGATGCCCTGTGTAGCATCCCTGAGGGTTGGAAGAGAGGCTGGTGAGCACTGATGACTGCACTCAAAGGAAGGTAGAGGTTTGGGATATCCAAATCAAGCACAAAGAGAACAGGAAGTAGGCCTGTTCTGTGAGCCCAAGCAGTTAGAAGGCGAGGTGATGGCACCAGAGAATTGTGTGTGGAGTGGCTCACAGATGCAGGAGGTCCAGAGGTGGATTATGGAAGAGAAAGGGAATGAGAGTTACAGTTCTTCCTATCTCGGTGTTAATGTCTACTTTTGGCTTGGAAGAAATAATAAGAGATCAGATCATCTCAAAATATCCCAAGGAAGGTTCCTTCCTCTCTGCCTTTTAAAAAATACCCTGCAGCCTCATGTGAATTTGCATATCCCCCAGGCTAAAGGAAGTACTTTAATCAGTACTTCTAATTGTGGAAGAGAAGGGAACATGCCACCACTCACCCACACACTGCTCATCTGGTAATGAATAGATTTCTCCCACATTGGGACCCAGGCTGCGGCTTTCTCCGCTCTCCTGCTCAGACTCCAGATTGTGGCGCTCAAGTCAGGCCTTCCACTGTTATAAAGAGACTTCTTTTTCTATTTCTTATCCTCTTTCTTTCCCCTCTCCTTTCTTTTTCCTTTTTTGGCTCGGTGAACATGCTCTTGACGGTTCACAGTGTATCTGATCTTGGAAGGCGTTGGGGATGATCACCTGCATTGTTCTGAGCGTTGTCTTGTGTGTCGAAATTGGCAAAGGGAGTGACAGAAATGAGGCCTCTTTCTCTCCCTACGGCATCACTCTGTCCGCTCACTGTGAATCTCTTTCCCTGACTTCCTGATTATTTTTCCCATCTGCTAACTGGTCTGCCCAACCTTGGCATTCCTGTGTCAGGAAACCTGAGCAGATAGGTTCTCTTAGCTCCTGGTTGGGCCCTTTTTAGGGATCTACTAATTCAGAGCTTTTTCCTCCAAGGTAGTACGACCTTGTCATTTTACAGTTACATTTTAGATTAGCATCTGTAATTGTGGCCCCTGTATCCAGTATAGGAGCATCACTTCATCTAGGGATGCTGTAGGGAAACAAGAAATAAAAGATATGACCTTTGACTAGATAGTTCAAACTTAAGTAAGAAACACCATTGTATAAAATAATAATTGTACTTGGTCCAAAATCCACCCAACTTCAGTGGCTTTACATTTTTGTGAGAATTAAAACTCACATAAAATGCTTGAAATTGAATGGTGCACAGATATTTCGTTGGTGCTGGGGAAGAGGAGAGGGTGGAGGGATAGCTTCCTGGGTGATGGGGACTGGATCTTGACCTCAGAGGAGAGCAGAATTTAGGTGAGAGTATCAACGTGTGCAGAGGCATCTTTACCCCACACGGAAGTGTTGATTTTGCAAAAGCACAGGGGAGGAATGTGCTCTCCCTTTGTGAAGGATGTTAAGATGTGTGAGAGTTTGTGAAGTCACCGTAGGACAGTGAAATGCACTGGTGGGATGATGCCAGACGGTGTGGATCGGTGATGTTAGCCAGGGACTGACTGGGTAGGATCCGTGGACACACTCAGAGGCTCCTAATGTGGCTTCTTCTAGGGCTGTGCTTCGGAGGATGGAACAGCTTAGGAAAACTTTCCTTCATTCCCTCGAGGTTCATGACTTGTGACTAGAAACTTGTTGACAAAGGAGCCCATGGTTTATTTATTCAAAACATTCTACTGTCTCTTTCTGAAATCCTATGTTATTTGCATTGTTTTACTCTGCTCTGCTTTGTTCTGTTTTGTTCTGTTTTATTCTCTTTAAAATAAAATAATTGAAAAAAAAAGAAATTAAAAACAAAAACATTCTGCTTTGTACCTTTTCTGCTTTGTACTTTTCTTACAGGGCCAGAGCTTACCTTGAGCTAAAGCCAGGGTGCTTTCCAAACAACAGTAGCAACATAGAACCTTTATAAATGGCAGTTCCTCTCCTTCTGTGCTGAGCCCAGGCATAACAAAAGGGTTGTATTTAAGGCACAGAGAATATTGTGCCTTAAACCGTGGTGGCCCTAAATTTTAGTTGATTGTACTTATGCAAAACTTTCATGCTTCTAATGATTAAATATGGAGATGATAACACTTTTCTGTTATTGCAGGGGAATTGATCCCTATGACAAACCGAACACCATCTATGTTGAACGGCATGAACCCTCTGGCTACTCCACAGTTCTCAGAAGTACAGACTTCTTCCAGTCCCGGGAAAATCAGGAAGTCATCCTTGAAGAAGTTAGAGATTTTCAGCTTCGGGACAAGTACATGTTTGCTACAAAGGTGGTGGTAAGTAGAGCGCATGGAAGAACACACTCAACTGCTTGTGAATTTCTTTCATGAGGGTTGTATTTTGTGGCCAATAGGTGAGTTCATGTAGCAGAATTTGAATCACTAGATTCAGGGCATGGGTGAACATTTCCAAGGGACTTGGAAGGTGCTGAGTTTGGAGGAGTGGTGGAGCCCTAGACTAGCACTCAGAATGTCTCCTGGCGCCCCTTGACAGCACAGAAAGGGCTGGGAGTATAGCTCAGTAGTAGAGTTCTTACTTAGCGTGTGTGATGTCCTGGGATCTAGCTCCAAATTGCAAAAACAAGCACATGCCAGGGAGGAGTGTTGGGGCTCAGTTTTTTTTTTTTTTTTCAAATCCCACAGACTGATTTTCTTCAAATTTAGACCAATTTCTTTGAGATTTTTTGACACATTAATTTATATGGCTAATAGGATGTGTAGCCATTGGTTAGCAGGAGTTAGTACTCTAAGGAAAGCAATAATGAAGCTTCCAGCTGTCAGTAAGTGGCTAACCTCTCAGCCTTTGGGAGAATCTGCCCCTTGATTTGATGTGTTGGAGCCAGATGCTGAAATGGAGGGCTTTGCTCATTTAAAACCAGAGTTGATTGCTTAACAGGAGTTGCTGTGCAATTGTTTGGAGTTCAGTCCTTCCTGCCCAGTATAAAGGAAAGAAACTAGGTTCTACTAAGAGTGCATTGGATCAGTGTTCTTGAGGCTGCAGGTAGTGACCCTTTCTTCAACTTGGCTCTGTTAAAGGTCTCTGGTAATCTCAGGAACTGAAAGTGGATACAGTGCTTTCCTCAAGGTGTTGGAATTACAGGTTTGTGCCACCGCACTCAGCTCTTAGGTTCTCCTTTATTCCTGTAATTGGTAGCAGGCTAAGGAAAAGTACTGTAGATAGTCTCTTTGGCAGGATACCAGGGTCCAGAGAGGAACTCTCCAGCAAGTAGCATACAGGGTCGGAATGAAAAGCGATGGATAGCGAGAGGCAAGAGGCGTTCCACATTAAGTGTCTTGCAAAGTGTTTTTTTAAACCATTACATTGCAGTAACTTTTCTTCTGTCAGGTGTTTGCATTGACTCTCAGACACTGGATTATTCCCTGCCTCACCTGGCTGTCTTTGTTGCATACACACACACACACACACACACACACACACACACACACACACAGAGAGAACGGTCCAGCAACACAAGCCTGCTTGAATTGCCTTGGGCAGGATGGAGTGATGAAAACACATAGGCGGAAATCCAGTCCAAGCACTGGTGTCTCAGCACCTTGTGTTGGGCATCCCTAAGTTTCAGGGTAGCTTTGAAAACTGTGTCTAAATTCTCCATGATCACAGGCCTTTCTTCTTTGAGTTTCTTGGCCTGGAGCTACTGTGTGGTTCTGATTTCTCAGTTCTGAAACACAGCAACTGATCCCCTGGTTTGCCCTCCTTTTTGACCTTCGTGGGGTCGGGTAGGCGTCTGCTTCGTGTTTTTCTCGTACCCCGCTATTCCTAGATCTCACACTCATGGGTTTAAATTGAATCCCTCCTGGAGCATTCTGTGTTCTCCATTCTAGCCTAACAGCTTGTTAGAGTCCGTGAGTTTTTATTACCCCTTTATTGCTGATATGAGGGGTGTATCTGTTTTGATTGTTGCTGATACAGTCCTCAAGGTCATACACATATTTGGTACATAGCAGGTGTGCAGTAGAGTTGAACGTGTGCCATCTTTTTAAAACTAACTTAACATGTTTATTACTGATAGATTTTTTTTTAATTCGATGAGGGAATAGGACATTGCTGATACTATATAGTCAAAACTGTCAACTCTATTTACCTGCTATTGGTAGGAAAGCTGGAGTTAAGTATTGGTTTCTCTCTCCTTCACGTAAACAGGCTTCCAGGTTCCAGGATCAGTGGCTTCAAATTTAATGTGCAAGGCCACCAACTGAACATGTTTCCTAATAGTCTTAGGAACATCTGTGGTGGCATTATGCAGGGGTAGGAGTTACAAACGCAGGCTGGAGGACGCAAATGCACTTTTCCTCTGAACATCCTTAGGGTGCCGTAGGGGTACCAGCAAGGTCTGGAAAACTGCTCTAATGGCCATACCCAATAGTCAGTGATACAGTGAACAGAACATTTCTCAAAGGATGAACTGATGAGAGGAGAAATGCAACTGGCAGTGGGTGATAAAGCAGCATTTTTTGATTATTTCATTATACTGGGAAACCACAATGATAAAATTGCCCTTGATTGGTTAACCCTTCCAGTAGCAGTGTTGAAGCCTCCACGTATAGCTGTTAATAGGATCTACTTAGTTTTAGGGCTGCCTTGGCTTGGGGGATTCCAACTGGCTTAAATGTTAGATGGATTCAAATCAAATTTAGAAAATCAAGGAACCAATTTGAAAATTAGCAGTAGTTGGTTTTAGGTTATTAACTCTGCTTCCTCTAGTGCTACAAATGATTTTAATCTTTTGCAAGTTACTTTTTCAGTTTATGTGAAGTCAGCCACCAGGGCTGTAGATGAGCTGGCGCCTGGGTCTTTAGAACTTCATGGTGCTGTTAGCCTGACTGTGACTTTATATGTGCATTGTATTTGATATACTTTGATTTTCTTATTCCAAGTTTAATTTTCAGTGCTTGCTTTTTTACATTAAGTTCATTTATTAGTCTTAATAGCCGATATCAAAATGGTGGGGCCATTAAAGAAGCAATGAGGTATCTCTATGATCTGTTAAGTGCTAATGATACATATTTTTTTCTCTTCTGTCTCCCTCAAATTTTTTAAAATTTTATTTTGAAAAGAACAAAACCAAATGAGAAAGGACACAAAATGGGGTCATTCAAAACAAAAGGATGGACATAGTACACAATTAAAACCACAATGCTAGGTGATCTACATTGGTTACTATGATGTCCCTTGTTAATCTTCAATAGAATTGTCTATATCATCAGGCATAGTAAAATTGAACATAGCAGTACAGAACAGAACAATATCAATAAAAACAAAACATTGGAGACATTATGGGACTTGAAAAACAGGTAACAGTCAAGCCAGAATGGTATCCTAGTGAATCTTAATTGTCTTCAGGGTAGTTGCCTATATTCTCTGACTTGATTCTATCAAATAGACCAGATAAAATCAGTTAAGACAAGACAGCGATCTAACAAACCAGGTTCAAATAAGATCAGTCATAAAAATACAGTGTAAGGAGCACAGGGCTTCAATTAAGTTAATAAGAAATCAAGGTGGTTACCTTAGTATGTCCTACTATTTTTGGAATAGCTGTGTGTGCCCTCAAGTCTAGTACAAGTAGATAGACTGGAACAGAATATAACCAAACTTAACAGAGCGATGAGAACAATGTGGATTTTAAATCCTGATGCACTATTAACAATGTCCTCTGCCTTCCTTTTTTTAGAGAATTCCTCCCCTTTCACTTTCACAGGTGCATCGTACATTTTGGGTCCCACTAACTCCTTTAGTTTTTAGATTATGGGCAACCCTCTATTTACCTACGTGATTCTAAACCTTTTTACCCCTGAACTTGATCTTAAGTTGTATTCCTTTACCTACAAAGGCTTCAAGGTTTTCCTTCATTATAGCTGAGTAGTTCTCCACTGTACAAAGTGTCATGTCTTGCCAACCTATCTGCAGCTGCTGGATGAGCTGCCCCTATTTCTCTCTGGTTCCCTGTCACATAGAGCATTATTTTCTCATCTTTGACTTTCAGTCCATAAACCCTTTTTCAGGTTGATTATATTTCCTATGCAGAGCATCTCAATGGACCCTATCTCCTGATCTTACTGTTGAGTTTTTTATGGCAAATAACAGCACTTCCTCAATATTTAAGCTTGGTGTGGGTTAGCTACTTCCTTCAACCTCACTATCAGATAATAGCAAGCCAGGCTCAGTATTTCTTGCACAGACGTGTATCAGTAAACAAGGACATGATCTGTGGGCTTGCTGAAATCTCCTCTGTGTCCTTACAGAGGATGCTGCACTCCACACTTTGCATGATACAGACACCATGTTTGAGAATAAACACTGACAGACACTGGGCCACTACCTGCTTTTGCTTATGTGTGATCTCTGGCTGCTTTCATGCCACAGTGAAAGAACGAAATAGCAAAGAGGTTGTGTAGCCACGGAGCATAAAACATCTGCTTTCTGCACCTTTACAGATAAAAGTTTGCTGACTCCTGTTGTCTGTCACCCTTTAAGCTGGCATCAGATAACCAGAACTGCACGCAAGGATTTGGCCAATCTGAGGCTTGATACCAAACAGGTTACAGGCCTCCTTAAATGGTTGCACTCTGCTAATTTTAGGGTGGATCTTCAGAATATTAAGGCCATTACAGTATCTCCAATGCTACTGATCTCCTTGGTGGGAGCCTATTTGTACTTTCATGATTCTAACTAATCAATCACTAATTTGACCACTGAACACCCATTTCTAAACCTTTAAAGTCTGATGTCCTCAGAGTTAACAGAAAAGCTCACTAATTGCCTCAGGGTTGTGGGCTTCAAGGTGAGAAGTTTGTTGGCCAAAACTAGGGTATGAATTTTAGGATAACTGACCAAAACAAAACTATTGACAAATTATTTTAATTATGATATTACTTAAGTGTACACAAATGTAAAGCCAGGAATAAGCACCTAAAGCTTATAACTTTCAAATGCAGCAGTCAAACCCAAACATTTACAAATTAAAATTTGAATTAAAGTTAATGCTAATATGTTAACGTTTAGTTTTTGTGTAATTTATATATCATAAAAATTCACTTTCTTGTGGTAGTGAAGATTGAACCTAGGGCCTTTGCAAAGAGTACCCAGCTCTTTTTAAAATATTTTGAAACAGGGTCTTGTGAAATTGTCCAACCTGGGCTTGAACTTGGGAAGTTCAGTCTGCCAGGGTGCTGGGTTTACAGGTGTGCACCAACATATCTGGCTTTCTAAAATTCGCCCTTATCAAGATTATAACTCAGTAGCTTTTTCAGCA